GAAAAGATTAAAAAAATAATAACATATCAGTATTATGTTAATTTTACATTGAAGTAATAATCAAAACGTCGTAACACAAGAAAAGTTCTACATTTTGACGCACAATTTTTTACTGTGTATAATCCACTCTCTGAATTGGACACAATGAAGAAGATCGAAAAAACGATATCAACTGCAGTGGAATATGTCAGTCGCTTACGGCGTCGCGTCGGAACGCAGATATGGAATTTATCGTGACGTGGTTTTATTTTAAACTCGTCGCATATTCACGTAAACTGTCAGGAGCTATTCAGTTTGATAACTACTATCGACGAATTAGAGCGAGTTCATTCTACTGCGAGAAAAATAGTTTCTCTCTCTCTCTCTCTCTCTCTCTCACACACACACACACACACGCACGCAAGCACGCACTCACTCACTCACGTATCTCTTTTTCGTTTCACTTCTCGGTGGTTTTCGACCATTACCACCGTCCGTGATTTCCTCGTCAAATCGCGAGAATTCGCATTGTCTATCGAGCGAAAGTGGCATCGTCGTTCAAAAAGTATCGCGAGCTCGTCGATTTACGCCGAGTCGCGTCACGTATCACGGTAACGTATCGCGCTCGAATAAATCCGCGTCGCCTGTGCAATTTATCCCTCTCTCTCCTTCCCTTTTTCCCTCCTCTTCCTGCTCCCGCCCTTGTCTCTGTATGCGCGCAATTCCTCCTTTCTTTCGCACATCGGCACTTTTTTTCTTTGCCATCGAGCTATCCCGTACTCTCGATCTTTCTCGCAGATCGATGTCACGCATGCATCTCGTTGTCTATAACACGTCATACATATCTCGAATCCGCGTGCGAACAAAACGAGCACTACGAGTAAGAGAGACGATTCTGTGAATATAAGTGCGGTGGACAGGAAGGGACAGCTCACGGTCACGGGTAGAAAAATGTAATTGTCAGTCTCCTCTTGCGTGCGTGCTGGGAGGGATAATTCCTACAATAAATTGCACCTTAGCGATAAAGCCGGTTGACAACGGTGGCACGTCCGAGGCGGGGATGCGCTAAGGGCGGCTGCCGCCTGGGGGTATCAGGCTTAATTTATTGCTGTTGTTATATACGAGATATAAAACAACGCGAAAAGTATTATACAAAGATAAATAAATCTCTAAGTGATATAATTGTCTCTAAGTGATAATTTTTATCTAAAAATAATTAGATTTTTTTTTAAATTCAGCAATTTTTAGTAGTTAATTTTGATTTAATTCTTTAATAATTAAGTATGATTTTTTTATATTGTGTGTGTGTTTTTTTTAGTTTTGTTGCAAAACCTATTTAGCGTAGTCCTGGGCGGCTTACGCCTGGTAAAACCTTCCCCCACGTTAAGCTATTCGTAATACCGCATGTTTTAGCCGTTAAACGTCAGGACGTTATCGAAAATAATTTCTCTGGGAAATTTCGTGTAGTGTGACGCGAAAAGCTTCGCCGAGTCACTCGTCCGTGTTGGTCGCGCGAGCAATATTGACGAGCGCTCCTGCATTAAATGATAAAGCGGTTTTTTTGTTTTTTTTTACAGTTTTATATTTCATTTTGACTGCAGTGGCATATTCATTCGACTATTTCCACACTCTCTGTATCATTGATCAATTTACTTTTTAGAATCAAATAAATTTATTGAGCGGTATTATGTAAAAGCGATTTAACTCGTCAACTAGCACAGTTTCAAATAAATCAATTTTAAAATTGTAAAGATATTTTATATCGCACACACACACACACACATACACACACACAGCGTCGCAAAATTTAATTTTATCTTAGTCATTATTTTTACATGCAAAATTATCGATGCAGTTAACGCACACGTCCAGCGCACGCTTGTTTAAATTTCATGATATTTTTATGTGACATCCATCGAAATATAATAACAAAATACATAATAACAAATATATAACAAATATATAATAAACAAACCGGGATCGCGAAAAATATACAATTGTAATTCGCGCACGCGCGAGTCACATTCTCCTCCGTTACAGTCACGATAGTTAAAAGCCAATTGAAACATCGTCAATACATTTTCGTACACTTTCTTGTCGACTGCAATTAACGCTACTCTCAAGATTCGCCGTTAAATAAACTTGGAAAACTTTGACACAGTACGTCCCTCGCCCGTAGACTTCTGTGATACTGCGATAATTACTTTCGTTGGATATAGTCAACGTTATATATCGCGATGTCAGTTAGGACGATCATCTATAATGTCGTTGTAATCAGTTAAATTTACTTCGACGAACGTAACTTGGTAATTTTCGCGCTGCGAACAAAACTTCTCTCTGCCGTGCTATTGTTTGCGCAGCTGGTATCGCGCGGACTTTGCAAAATAACTTTCCTGAAAGATCTACATTTTACAATTTTCTTTTAAGTTTACTCAGGGTTGTTCCGAAATGTTACGTAATGATAGTATTTTATGTTTAAACTGTGTGTGTGTGTGTGTATATATATATATATATATATATCTGTGTGCGAACCGGAGTTTAGTAGAATACCGCTCGCTCTGCACGTTGCGCGATATTCTTGAACAGTGTTTTTCAATCAGTATTTTTTCGCATAAGCTAAAAATATCTTTATTCTATAGAATGTTTTATAGTTTACATTATTTTATTTTTTGAAGCGACGTATCGTAACGATAATAAAAAAGAAAAATGTAGAGATATACGTTATTAAAAAGAAACCAAGGAACATGTGTACTCTGAAAATATAAATATATATAAACGTTTGTATATATATTCATTTACATGTTATTTTCTGTATTTTCTTTTTTGTATTTATCCAAGTAAACACGCATCTCTTATTGTTTGCCACTTTGTTTGTTTGTTTTTTTTTGTTTTTTACTTTAAGATAATCGCATTTCATTCCAAGAATGTGGAGAATTAGAGCGAATAGCCGATCAGAAAGAAAGAAACAGAGATATGAATGATGACGACAACTTTCTATTTAGAAGATGTTGACGCACCTTGGTGTTACCGGGTTAGAAAGTTTTATGGAAGAGATCCACGAATGCTACACACCTGCGTCAAGTAAAGTTTGTTGTATTAAGCATGAAAAATTATAATACGTCGGGAAAACTTTGACATCGCAGACAAAAGTGAGGAAGAAAGAGAGAAAGAGAGAGAGAGAGAGAGATGGAGATAGAGATAAAGCAGTATGCGTCTGCAGATCTTGATTATATTAAAATTCTCGCCGAAATTTTTGAATAATGAATCCTCGCGGATATTTGATAGGAAACGAACAAAACCTCGCGAAACTTTCGCAATTATCGAATGTCGCCGTTATTGATCGCGACAGTAAAACTTGCCTATATATATATAAATTTTTCAGTCCAGTTTTTGGAGATAAATATCTTGCGGATATCGTATTTTATTGCGACGATGTGGCACGATCGCTTTATATCGCTATTGGAATTCAGGTCCGCGTTCTACACCAGTTTGAGAACATTTCCAACGTAAGGTTACAACATAGGAGAAGCCGGACAAAAGAGCTAGGGATCTTTTGGACAGCGAAAGCACGAGAAGAGCTGTAACCACTTACTTGATGCGACAGAACAATGCATCGCAAACAATTAATTAACTCGTCCGCTTCGCGCGCTACAAACAGCCATAATTAATTTTAATTACACGAGTCAAGAAACGAACATTATACTGCGCAGACCGTCGCGATTAATTATAATTCGTTACGGTCAACAAGAATATAATTCCGTGGTATGTTAACCGATCAAAATTTAGTATTCAACCGTTTGCGGGACAATAAAACGTAATATATATTGTATATATATGTACAATAAAAAACACAAATAAACGATATATAAAATTATTGTTTGCGTATAATATGAAAGATGTAAATAAATAATTGATATTGCCGCATCTCTTTGCGAGCGTGTGTTATAAAAACATATATTTGTACATTGTACCTCTCTCGTCGTTTCTACAGTCTACACTTTGCTGGTTTTTTGAACACTGCTTTTCTAAGCACAAAAAAGGAGAAAGAAAGAGAGAGAGAGAGAGAGAGAGAGTCGGTTTTGTTCATTAATATCAGTTAAATTTTACAAATACATACTCAACATCCTGTGTGAACGTAGCAAGGCCAAAGTTTGCGCAGCAGAGGAGTTTCACCCTTCCGGATGCATAATTTATGCGGGTACTCGGCTTTCTGCGTTGCAAGACTTGGACGTTTTGCGCTTCAAAGAGCATAAAAATGGCGACGGTTTAAAAAATTCCCCGTCGAGCACTGACGTTCGTGGGAGTTTCATGTGTCGAATAAGTTGAGATTGTCGTTTTAGAAAAATCGTGCACAAGGCAAACGGATATTTCTGGAAAAAGGTTACGCAGCGCATATTTGTAACCGGAGTACTAAAGAACGATAT